ACCTCACGAACACTGATTCAAAAATCCTCAATAAAATCCTAGTAAATAGAATACAGCAAATCATCAAGAAGATCATACACCATGACCAGGTAGGATTCATCCCAGGGATGCAAGGATGGTTCAATATTCACAAATCTATAAATGTAATACACTAGCAGGATACAAAGTCAATACTCAAAAGTCAATAGCATTCCTCTACAAAGATAACGAGCACACTGAGAGGGAAATTAGAGGAAAAAATACCTTTTACAATAGCACCGTGGAAAATGAAATACTTGGAATTCACTTAACCAAAGAAATCAAAGATCTTTTCAAGGAAAATTACCATACTCTGAAAAAAGAGATGGTAGAGGATTTCAGAAAATGGAAAGATATTCCCTGCTCCTGGATAGGAAGAACTAACATTGTGAAGGTGGCTTACTCCCAAAATTGTTGTACAGATTTAATACAGTCCCTATCAAGCTGCCATGAACATACCTTAACACCTAGAGAAATCATTCCTAAAATTTATTTGGAACCAGAAAAGACCTAGAATAGCAAAGGCAATCCTGGGCAACAAAGACAAGGCAGGAGGCATTACAATTCCTGACAGGCCATTATACTACAAAGCTACTGTGATAAATTCAGCATAGCACTGGCAATAAAATAGACCTGAGGATCAATGGAATAGATTAGAAGAAACAGAGTCCTCTACGAACACTCTCAGCCACCTTATCTTAGACAAAGGGGCCAAACATGCTCACTGGAAGAATGATAGCCTCTTTAATAAATGTTACTGGAAACACTGGCTCACTACATGCTGAAAAATAAAACTTGGACCAGGTCTATCACCATGCACTAAGCTAAAGTCAAAATGGATTAGAGATCTAAACATTAAAACAGAAACACTATCGCCCCTACAAGACAAAGTAGGAGGAACTCTTGAGGACATACGGGTAGGCGAAGAGTTCATGAAGAAAAATCAAATCACACGGGTCATACTTGAAAGAATTAACAAGTGGGACCTCCTCTTATTGAGAAGTTTTTGCACGTCAAAAGAAATTACCAACAGAGTGAAAAGACAACCCACAAATTTAGAAAAAAACTTGACTAATAAGCACTGAGACAAAGGTGTGCTCTCTAGAATTTATAAAGAACTAAAAAACATTAGGGCCCCAAAATTTAAAGACCCAATCCAGAAATGGGCATCTGAGATGAACACACACTTCTCAGAGAATGATATTGAAGAACTGAATAAATATATGAACGAATGCTCCACAACACTCGCCATTCATGAAATGCAAATTAAAACAACTTTGAGATACCATCTCATCCCAGAAAGAATGGCTATCATAAAGAAATCAATCAATAGCAAATTTTGGAGAGGCTGTGGAGATAAAGGAACTCTATTCCAATGCTTTTGAGAATGCAGACTGGTGCAACCATTATGGAAGTCAATGTGGAGACTCCTTAAAAAACTAGGACTGAAAATCCCATTCAAACCAGCTATGCCCCACCGGGAATTTTCCTGGAAGAACTGAGAATGTGATATCATAATGATATATGTGTACCTATGTTTATAGCAGCACAATTTTGATAGCCAAATCTTGGAAACAACCAAGATGCCTGTCACTTGAGGGATGGATGAAAAAGATGTTGTATTTTCATACAATGGAGTATTACTCAGCTATAAAGAATGATAAACTGGAAGCCTTTATATTTAAATGGATGCTACTTGAATATTTACTCATAAGTGAAATAAAACAGACCCACATGTGTAAATATCATATACTTTCCCTACTATAAGAACTGAAAAGAAGAAATACAAATAGAAAGTTATAAGATAATTAAAATCAAAATGAGAACTCAGGGATTGGACAACCAGGAGAGGAAAAGAGAAAAGCTGGGGAAAATGACAGGGGAATAGCCATACATTTATACACACAAGATGAGTGAGGCAATGATCCTGAGAATCATCAGAAGGTTTTTTGAAACTAGCAGTTAATTGGTAGGATTTTCACTCTGACGAACTATATATATTTTTATTTATTTTTTCATAATTTTATTGATAAACAAATAGCAGTGAGGGGCTGGTGAGATGGCTCAGTGGTCTAAAGCACCTACTTAGAACAAGCTTAGCAAAGCACAGGGACCTCGGTTCAATCCCCCAGCACCACA